CGCAGGGGAAACAAGGAACAGCGACTTCTGGGGGTGAAGTCGCGGTCCGGCAGACTGTAAAAGACCCTCCTTCGACGCAGCGACCTGACGAGGACTATTTTGGTTTTACAGTGTTCTCCGACAGCAGAAAGATCGTTCCTGCCGAAATCGCCGTCTTCGTCGACAATCGTGCTGTCAACGCCCTCGTCGACACCGCCGCCGACTATTCCGTAATGAGCGCCACACTGGCATCTGAACTGAGGAAGGTTACCACACCGTGGCAAAGACCCCAGTTGCGCACGGCAGGTGGCCATCTGGTGATGCGTACTGGTATGGGCACGGCACTCATTCGAATATGTACGTCAACATTTGCGGGCTCTTTCCTCGTATTGCGCGTGTGCTCTCGGCCAGTCAGTCTAATAATGGACTTCCTTCATGAATATGGTGCAGTCATTGACCTTCGTGAATTACTTTTGTCGTTCGAGGATCCTTTTTGTGTTGCAACTGACAGTACGCAATTCTGAAAAAGAGCGCTCCGTACTAACGACAATTCTCTGACTCTCCCACCTCGAAACAGCCTGTTTGTCAAGGTAGAATTGGGACAGGACGTGTATGACCCGGTAATTGCCGAGGCCAATTTATCTCTCCTTATTTCAGGACAAATCTGTGTTGCCCAAGGAATCATTCAGCCTAGCAACAAGCATGTTCACCTGCTGGTCACGAACTTCAGCGACGAATATCGCCACCTCACGAGACACACTGCCACCGAATATTTTGAAGAACTTGCCGATGTTGAAGGTTCGTCCACGTTAGCTTCATTTTCATCGAATGGCTACCCTGGCGAGGCCTTCACAAGCACTCTCGACGTAAACGAGAGTCTACCTTCGGCTCAACGAGAAAGCCTTTTGCGTACACTTGGCTCGTTTCAAGACTGCTTTGCCACTTGTCGAAGGTTAAAAAGACACCACTTGCTCAGCATGGTATCATCGCGGAACCCACCGAGAGACCCATCCGACAACATGCCTACAGGGTGTCGCAAAAAGAACAAGACGCTATAACGTGACCAAGTCTAGCAGATGCTTCAGGAAGATGTCATCTAGCCATCGACCAGTCCCTGGGCTTCGCCAGTTGTGCTAGTAAAGAAGACGGATGGTACGTTGCGCTTTTGCATTAATTACCGTAAACTGAACAAGGACACCAAAAAGGACGTTTATACTCTACCTTGTATACATGACTCGTTGGACCGTTCACGCAACGCTGAATGATTTTCCAAATTGCAGTGGATGAGTCCGACCGCAAAAAGATGGCTTTTATTACTCCCGACGGCCTGTACGAATTTAAAGTGTTCCCTTTCGGTCTATGCTCAGCGCCAGCTACTTTCCAAAGAATGATGGATACAGTTCTCACGGGGCTCAAATGGCAAACATGCCTTGTTTACCTTGATGACATCGTGGTCTTTGCACACACGCTTGAACAACACATCCAACGCCTTTAGGCAGTTCTTCAGGCAATTAGAACAGCGGGGCTTTCTCTCAAACCCGAGAGTCCCATTTTAGACACGAAGAACTGTAGTTCCTTGGCCATGTTGTGAGCCATGCTGGCATCCACACATATCCGGAGAAAACCCGCGCCGTTGCCGCCTTTCCCATGCCCACAAACAAGCGCGACCTACGCCGATTTCTGGGGCTCTGTGTGTATTACAGGCGCTTTGTCAAAAACTTTCGAAGATTGCTAGACCCCTCCACAAGCTTACAAAAGACGATGTCCCGTTTGTTTGGGGTCCCTATCAGTGCCGTGCGTTCGACACCCTCCGAAACCTTCTCCAGGCTCCGCCTGTACTGGGTCATTTTGACGAAAGCGCCGACACGAAATTACACACTGACACCAGCAACGTTGGACTAATGGCATAGAGTGCGTGATCGCTTATGCGAGCAGAACGTTATCCCCAGCGGAGAAAAACTATTCTGCAACCGAAAAGGAATGCCTCTCTGTTGTCTGGGCCATAACAAAGTTCCGCACATACTTGTATGGCCGCCCATTCAGGATAGTTAGCGACCACCATTCGCTTTGTTGGCTCGTGAATCTCAAAGACCTCTCAGGTCGTCTAGCACGATGGATCCTTCGGCTACAAGATTTCGATGTCACCATCGTCCACAAATCTGGGCGGAAACACACTGACGTCGTCTTTCACGTGCACCGGACGAAAATGCCAACACTGACCTTGAAGAGGACAACACTTTTTTTTCTGCCGTATCAGCAGCCAGCTTGGCTGAGCAACAGCGTCATGACTCGGAGCTCATCCCGCTAATTGACTACCTGGAAGGGCGCAATTCCCACTCTCCTCAAAGCTTTGCACGCTCGCTATCCTCCTTTTGTTTCTGCGATGAAGTGCTTTATAAAAAGAAGTTTCATCCTACACAAGCTATGTATCTGCTTGTTGCGCCAACCACGCTTCGTGGTGACATTTTACGTGCGTGTCATGATGAGCCATCGTCCGGACACCTCAGCTATATGCGCGCGCTGCAACAGATTCAATACTCCTACTACTGGCCACGTCTCGCAAAGACTGTGAAGCACTACGTTCGCACATGTAGCAACTGTCAGAGACGTAAGATTTCACCTTTACGACCAGCGGGACTACTGCAACTAATAGGCCCACCGAAGGCACCTTTTCATCAGATTGGCATGGACTTGCTGGGGTCATTCTCCTCGTCTTCGTCTGGAAACTGGTGGATTGTGGTCGCTACTGACTACTTAACACGCCACTATGGAACAAAGGCACTTCCAAAAGCCACCGCAGCAGACTTCGCCCAATTTTTGTTAACAGCATCGTCTTACGTCACGGTGCCCCAGCTGTCGTCCTAACTGATTGTGGGACAGCTTTCACTGCAGAGATGCTGCAGGAAGTCTTGCAATTAGGTGGCACGGAACATCATAAAACAACAACTTACCACCCGCAAGCGAACCGGCTGACTGAATGACTCAAAAAGACAATTGCAGACATACTGTCAATGTATGTGGACATCGATCACAAGAACTGGGACGCCATCCTTCCTTACATAACTTTTGCGTATAACACTGCTGTTCAAGAAAGTACTGGTTTCACATCTTTTCGCTTAGTACACGGTCGCGAGGTCACGACAATGCTCGACGCCATGCTCCTGCCCGACAGCTTAGGAATATACCACACAGATGCCGCCAAATTCGTGCAGTGCACAGAAGAGGCCCGTCAACTCACTCGTCACCGTATTCAATATCACCAAACAGCAGATGCGCGCCCCTACAATCTTCATTACCGTGAAGTTATTTTCAAGCCTGGTGATGAAGTCTGGGTGTGGACCCCTATCCGACAGCGTGGCCGTTCAGAAAAGCTTCTTCGCCGCTACTTAGGCCCTTACAAGGTCGTACGACGTCTCAGCGACGTTACTTACGAGGTTCTCTCAGAAGGCACTTCGAGACGTTCTCGCCACCCCCGTGCAAACTGAAGTCATTCACATTTCATGGCTCAAACCATACTTTTCGGGCTGTGAATCACCAGTGGAGTGACTGACTATATTGGTAACCTCGCGTCTTTCTTTTGTTTAGTCTTTTCCTTACATTCTTTCCTATTTTTCTTATTTCTCATTTGACTCTTGACTCCACAACCGACTACGTTATTCCGCCTTAAACCATTCATTTTGCTTGCATAGAAACTTTCGTCTCATTTTTTTTTTTGCCTTCATGTACAGCATTGAGACGATGCTTTTTGGGAGAGGGGGTCATGACGCATGCCACCATTGATGAACGAACGAGCTGCTGTGGCTCATACTCGTTTTGGGCTGAGAAAAAGAAGAGAACATTTTCGTTGCTCTGGTTCAGGTGAACTACTGGCTGAAGGTCTTGTTTTGTTCGTGACAATATTCTCTGAATTGATTACTGGAAATAATTTTAGTCATTAAAAGCATACTAATGATTATGCAACTTCTAAGGTCTGACCCTTCTGTACATACAGGCTGAAATAAACATTAGTTTTGCCTTGAACAACATAAGAGCCAGCTATCGCATGCACTAATATTTAACAGTTTATCACTGGCACACCAAACTAGAAGAATGTGATTAATACAAGGCCACGGCAATTCTATGAAGTGTTTCTAATACTGTCGAATAAAAAATATTGCACAATGGCTTCCGCACCTACATCGATGATCTATAACGGCTCTTCAGTCACAGTACCAATAGGACGTGCCAACAGCACACAGCATTATTTTTTTATAGTGTCTCAAGTTGCACGTTTATTTGTTTCCGACTCGACGATTAGGTATTCGCGCTGCAGTTCAATCATTTGTCAGTGCCACAGCTCCAGTCACCATCTGTGCTTTTACAGTGACTCAAAAGCAAAGTAAAAAGAACGATAAAGTTGACTATTATGCACTTTTGTCGCGATTGAAAATATATTAACACTGGTGACAGGTTTTTGCCATCGGCATCCCCATCATGTTCCATATAAAGTCCACATCAATAACATTCACCCCCCCCCCTCCCCCCCCCCCCCTGCATTGCATCTCACCCAGCAAGGGTGACGAATGTGGCTATAGCCGAGATCGCATGAGCCAGCCACTCCCTGTCACTCAGAGGGCGCATGGCAGAGAGGAAGCGCCCCATCAGTTTTGAAGGAGCATGAAGCATGTGGGAGGGTGGGGGTATTATTCGAACAGCAACTGTGAACTATAATTTTTGAGGAAGTGGTCTGGTGTGAGCACTATCCAGGCAGGCACAAGCGGACAGCTCGTATATCCTTCTACGTCCTGCACTCTCAAGGCGAGGGGACAGTGCGAAATCCCCTGCTCTCCCTGGAGTGGCCATACAATCTTTCATCAGTTTTGCAGGGTTACACAAGGCTGTATCTAGAAGATCTAACTGCCGGTCTTAGTTTGTATGACACTAAAATTTGTTGCTACAGCACTTGTTGCTCCTCCTTTGTGGTGAAACTCATTGTTTAATAAAAAACAGGAAAGAGAAGAAACAAAGGTCGAAATACTTACTCAGTTGGCTAAACCTAGGCATGCTTGAGAGGGAAGCATTATTGGAGTGCTGGCCATTTGTTCCATTTACTGTGGCTGTAAACAGAAAAAGCAGAGGCACTATGTTCTAAACTAATGCGAGGAGAACAGTATGCATAATTAAAAGGAGGAACAAAATGCATCAGGATGCAGCATTTCTTAGTTGAACCCAGGCTGAATATTCTCGATACTCGAAAGAGCGGTGCATAAATCATCATCGATATCGCAATCATTCTCAGCCTGCATTAGTTCGCTGAAAGGCGAAGACCTCTCCCAATGATCACCAGTTTACTTTTTCCTGTGCGAGCTGATTCTATTTCACCCCTGCAAATTTCATCTAACAAATCTGCAAGTTTCCTCTAGCCTTCCTCGAGAACATTCCCCACACTTTGGTAACCCATGCTCTTACTGTCAACAAGTTGTCTTTTGTACGTGTTACATGACCAGCCCAGATCTATTTTTTTCACTTAATGTCAACTATCTGTAGCTCCAGTCTGTTCTCTTACCCATACTGCTGTTCCTCCAATCTCTTGGTGTTATTCCTACCATTCTACGTTCCATTGCACGCTGTGTGGTCCTCTGCTTTCGCTCTAGTTGTTTTGTTAATCTCTGTGTTGTAGCCCCATACGTCAAAACTGGCGATATGCAGTGGTTGTATACTTCTGGTTTTAATCATACTGGCAGATTTCCCAACATTATTTGGGAGTGCCTGCCGAATGCATTCCAGCCCATTTGTATTCTTTGGTGAATTTGCTTTTTGTGATTAGGTCTTCCCATGAATTGTTCTCCTAGGCATACATATTCTTGTATATACACTCCAATGTGTGGCTTCCCATCTTAAATACTTTCTGTTTTGCCATACCGTTCTGCCTAATCTTTGTCTTCGTAATGGTATTAATTTTGAGGCCTACCTTAATACTTTCTCGATTTAATTTTAAAAAATTTTTCAATTGGTTGCTATCAATACTGAAGACTGCTAATTTGTCAGCAAATCTTGTAGAAATCATGGAAACGAACAATATAGCACAAAATTACCAATCAATGTGTGCGTTTTCCTTATTAGTTGCTTGATGCTTCAGGGGCAAACGTGAAAAAGCAGGCATATGTGCATCATTTGGTGTCTCTGTTGTATTTGTACCGTGGCACAATACTGCTTTTCCTGTGAGTGGGGGAGACTAGACAACGCTTTATGCATGACAGCGCCAGCTAGTCTCAGAAAAACTATAATGGTGGTAGTACACCTGCTTCTAATGCAGCGGGAGGTACAGGGTTCAATTCCCTGTGCTGCTAAGTACCCACCATTTTTCTGAAGGGAAAAGAGGCACATTGATTCCGTGTTTGTTGGTGTAGGCTTTTGTATCGACAAGGTGACGGCCTCTGCTTTGCCATATCTTCTACACTTCATTTGCATAAACTTCCGGGAATTCCACTAAACATCATACAGTGTACATTGTAATAGTTTCCCCTTTTGGTTATAATTTTAGTAATTAAATGTAGCTCATAAATAATTATTGCCCCCTCTAAAGTACTTAATGCCCCCTCTCATTCTTCCCATACAATTTGCTCAAAATTCAACAAATAATTTGGACTTGCAACTATACACACACAATTCAATGAGCGTTCTACAAGAACACATTGTTTGCTACAGGTGAACAGTAAAAACAGCTTGACACCCACAACACACACAAGTGCATAGCATTATGTATGTGCTTTGAACTGTTTAGATAATTAGAGCATTATATTTGATGTCAAGCACGGTGTACAGGAAGGCCAAAACCACATACTATATAAAATTTTGCACTGGCTAGCTGTCATCACTCATTTAATATACAGTATAAACTCATTATAACAGTATAAACTCAAAACCCATGTACTGTAACAACAGACTTTTATGCAAACACTGAATGGGTCTGTTATAACCAGAGAGAATTACAAGTCACGGACAAATTTATTCTCAATGGGGGCATAAAAAATTATTTCTTGAAAATAATCCCTTTTATTTTTATTTCATTCAAAAATAACTGAAAATTATGTAGAAGTCCTGTAAAACATGTTTGCGCCTGCCGATGTGGCGACAATTATTGTGCAAGTCGCACACACATATACAAGAAACAGCGTTTTTCTAAAAATTATAGCTCCTAAATGACACAACCATCGAAAATCGTGTTACTTTGCGAGATTTTCACACTTGTTCTGTGTTCCTGGGTTGCAATTTAGTTAAGGCAGCTTCAAGCGGAAATACAGTCATCAGATTATGATAGCACGCCGCATCTTTGAACCCGCTACTTATCAGCACTCCAAAACTTGTGAGGAAGATTACCACAGGACAACTCTTTATACTCATGATCGAGCATGATGTACCTTGAAGGACACGCACAATTCAACTGGGTTTTTTGCTCAAAGTCGTGGCTAGGCTTTACTCTGCTCTTAACTTTGCACGCAAGACCATCACGTTCGCGGACATGCAGAAGTGAAGCAGCCATAATGTGCTTCGTCAAAAGCGACTAAATACATCACCCGCAAGCTCCTCGGAACCACGGTTGGCCATTGTGCTCATCGGCAGCGGACCACTCCGCCAAACTCTACACGCAGTGACTGCTCGCAGCAGCGGTGGCAGAGACTAGCGATTTCCCATGCCGGCGCCCCAAAACGCAAGACCAAGCATGCTGCGTGCCGATTTTTTGTCACCATAACTAGGTATAACTGACCATTAACAGACCAGAGATCGGTGGCCTTCGTTCTTAAATTATTGCATCCATATTTCCACGGCACACCGTTTTTATGTCCTGAAAGTATGTTTGATTTTGGAATTTCATGAAATTTCTTGAATTTGGGATGTCCATGGCAGGAAAGCTTGCTGTAAAGGAGTCCTGACCACATTGCTGGCCTCACACTTTAGTAAATTATATCCAAACGTCCGTATTACCAGAATCCATAGTAAACGAAGCTCAGCCAATAGAAAAAATAGCGGGGGTGTCGGCATAACAATGCCAACTGGTATTTTGTATCTAAATGTCTGTTGCAAGCAGATCCGTTGCAACCCCAGGTGGTGAAAATTTCTGCAGCCCTCCACTACGGCGTCTCTCATAATCATATGGTGGTTTTGGCACGTTAAACCACAGAAATCAATCAATCAATCAGATCTGTTGCAACTAGGTTATACTGTAGTGCTTACAGAGCAGTACTGCAGACTGGATATGCGTATCAGCTGGCTAATTTGCAGTACCCCGCTGCTTTATCATTGGATCAGAATTTCAGCGCTGAAATAGCAGAGTTTAAATTTACACCCTCTAAAATAGCGCCAGAGACCCACCATGATGACCCCTGGAAGAGTGTGAAGGCTGAGAGGAAGAGTTTCTGTGTGGTGTCGGTGGAGCATCTTCGTGTTCAGAGTCACTGGAGTCCGAGCTGGCAGAGCTCTTGCTAGTAGAGTTGCTCGAATCACTAGAGTCCGACAACACGCCCACGTCAGGAACTTCTTCTTGGCCGTCTGTAATAGGTGCAACATGGAACAAAGTGAAGCAGCAAATTAAACTTGAGGCACTCATACACTCTCAAGTTGGAAATATATTAAAAGTTTATTTCTAATGCCCCCCCCCCCCCCCCATTGTTCTCCTGTGCACTAATGTATCCTATAAAGTTTACTGTTCTACGTTGGATACTGACAAGGGATGGCTGGTACAGGTTGGCGTCAGAACAGTACGAAGTGAAACAGTGAGTCAAAAACACAAATTACAAGTTTTTTTTTTCCTTTAAGCATGCAATGCCACCATTGCAGCTTGAACATCATGCAGTGATAGCAGCGACACTTTGCTTTTTGGAGCAGGTTCTGGAGCAGAAATACGGTGCTTTGGAGCAGCCTTATGTGTCTTTGGAGCAGAAAAAAATGCTATAGCTAAGGGTTGCTATTGGTGTTTTCGGAGCAGATGCATGTTCCTAACGATTCCCAAAGTCTAAAATGTCACTTAGGCATCCAATAAATATTTACATTTATTATTAAACATGCCATATACTAGTATGTAGCTAGTATACAAGAAGTATAGTAGCATCATTGGCCTAAATCATAGGGGGAGGGGGGGTTCAAGGAAGTTCGGACTTTTATTGTGTTTAGGCGGAGGAGGACAGCCCTTGCAAGTGTCCCCCCTGAAATTTAGCTTTAGCACGTGATATAAATGCATTAACAGGCATTTTGTCTTTTACTGTGCCCCGCCTCTCAGCTGCATGAACCATGGAAATCGCAAAAAAAATAGACTGAATAGAACAATGCGATTGCTCGAGTTCTGACCACATGCTCGTTTTCTTGAACTTTATTTGAAACCATGATTTAGTTTTTATATAAATGAAAATACAACCCATATTAAAAATACAATAGGGTTGACAGGCGGGCTGTCAAATTGGCCACCATGGCCTGATATGTGTCACCTCTTGTGATTTTTCTGGATTTACGCCACTGAGTAGCATACAGAGATGACACTGCATATAGCTTGCTCTTGGTTTCGCTTAGGCTCACAGGATAGCCCCATACATCAACTTCATTCTTTTTAGCTTGCCAACACCATTTTGGAGCAGGTTTGAAGCAGTTACTAGCAAATATAGCACTTTGGAGCAGCATGGAGCAGCATTTCTCTTTTGGAGCAGTCTAGAGCAGCTTGTAGCGATTGGAGCAGCACTTCCATCACTGATCATGTTACCCAAGATCAATGCCATTTTTCAGAGCAACACATCCCAAAAACAGGTACAGCCAGACCCCTTTATAACGACACTGATACTGTGATAAGAGACGAATGGGTATAAAAGACACCAGTGTGCCTGCAGTAAAATGTGGGTTGACAAGGAAAATGCATACGTGTTACCGTGATTATAAAAGACATCTCATGTCAAAGAAAAAAATTGCTGCCCAAAAGCTTGTATCTTATAAAAAGGTTCAACTGTATGAACAAAAGTGTTAACAAATTAAATAGTTATGTAATGAATAAAACTATACAACCTTTCTTTCACACTCCCACAGTAATCGATACAGCTCTCTGTTATTCTATAATATCATATAGCTGGTCTCAGTAAAACTTCACTTAAGATGCAATATTGCTTAAGCTTTAAGTTCTTTGACAATAAATACAGAGTGAGCAGTGAATAAGACTTAATTTATAAGGACTCTATGCTGGTATGCTTCCTATTTAGTGACTGAGCTTAGAAAGGTGAATACCAAAGAAGAAAATGCCTACAGGAATCAAGCATGCATATTTTAACAGTGCAACACTTGAAGAAACAGCATGCTGCATTTAAAAGTCTCACAGAATATCTGCTCTAAAAAACATCGGTGAAACGCAAGTAACTGCATAACACAGTCAGGCTTGATATTGTGCATCTATTATTTTTCATTTCTAGAGTAAATGACACACAAGAAATCTCACTGTGTTGCCTGCTTTATACCACTAGTGTTGGTATCTGAACAATTGTCTAGATAACTGACTAACTCAACAAAATATTGATAAAAGCATGTTCAATTTGGGTTCTTAATAAATCTTGTCAAACAGCAACCTTTTACACAATGTGAAACTAGGCAGAACACTGCGCTGGCTAACAACCAAATGCCCCATTTACAGCAGCAGTATACATAGGGTTGAGCGTCAGCCTTGAAGGAATGACGTCTTTTCTGAAGGTGCAAATAATTGCTGCAATAAAATTGTTATCAGCACATTGTGCGTCCTTCTTTCTCTGCCCTAACTGTATGAGCGCTGTTTCACCCTTTCATTATCTTTTCTGGCACTCGGCATGTAAACCTCAGGCAAAACAAAATAGAATTGGACATATATGAATGCTAGTGTGTCTCAACTTCTCTTTGTTTCATCTTGGGTTTGTGCATTAAGCATTAGAAAAGGTATATGTATAGATATAGGCATGAGGAAGCTTCCACAAGGTCATGTACACCACTTGTCAGCGTTCTCGCTCATGCTGTTCGAAATTCTGCTGCTTGATGAAATGTTCCCAACACAAGGAGGACACCTTTCACGTGCAAGAAGTGACACACTAGTGCACATCGATCACCAGAGAAGTGAATGCAATGAATAATACTCAGCATGTAGAATACAACAAGCATACCAAGGCTACGGCTGCGAAAATTAGACAGTCAGGCATGTAGGCACTCGCTTGTACTTTTTAAATGCTGCCATCTCACAAACCAATTGATTATTTTCAGACGACAATGAATTTTGCGAGTTGGTTTGTGTCAAGCTGGAATTTTACTCACGAATGTTCAACATACCCTATAACTTTTGTTGAAATGAGCCTAAAACATTCCTTTTTGTTTTACTACACACAGCATTCATTCCCATTTATTGTGATATGCTGAATTCCTTTAAAACTACCACATTTTAAAATCAAATCTCCCTAAGGACACTGAATTATTTGATATCTTACAAACTACAAATTGTACTAGAAAAAAAAAATTGCATATTTGAAATCAGGACATGACAATACATAAGGTATGGAAATTAAATAAAACTTCACTTAAAAATGAACGGAAAAACTTTAGGACGCTTAAGCTTCAGTTTCAAGAGTGTAACACATCAGTAGTGTAACAGGGTAATGTTCGTATCCCCTTCCAAATCACTAGCCTGACTTCGTTTCACAGTGGAGACCTAATCCATGTCGCAAGAAGTCAAAGTGTGGATGCCCTCCATGCATGCAGCGTGACAAAACACAGCCACACGGCAGGGCTATGCCATTTAAAAGTGCAGTCATGGGCCCTTTGCGCGCATTCTCATGGGTGTTCTGTCAAGCCACCACTGAAGAACCTCTGAGATGCAAGTACGACCAGCACCAATTTGTTTATATAAATAGTTCACCGTTAGCATGCTGAAGAATGTATGCATTATGGCACAGTAGCTAAACATACTGTCACAATTAATAGCCGACAAGGCAACAGAAGGAGAACGAAGAGGGGTGCACGAGCAGCAGCTTCTGGCTTTTTGAGAAAGACAAGGTTGGGGCGTCTGCTCTTGTGTTCCTGTGTGTGAATACAGCCTTGCCTATTCCCACCGCAACGAAGTCTTCAGTATTGTTCTTCCCACGTTGCGACAATATCAAGCCATGGAGCAGAGGGTTGTGGGCACAAATATCAGATCCCACTCGAACTGATGAGTATTTTTTAATTATTATTATTTGTTCATTCCCATCTACCTCGAATATTCATTTGAACGACGCTGAATTTTTGCTCACGGCCCCCGATGCCACCATCAAAACACACACTGAAATTTCTGCTAAATAAGCTCTTTAAGGCTATCACATTAATCTATGTTCACAGTGGGGTCTCTCTTCCCTTAAAGGCCAAGTAAACAACCCCGAGGTCCAAAAATTGCAATGAAGAGAAATATGTGCAGTTTTGCTATGTAAAGATGCTGCTTGCAAGAATTTAGTAAATTTGTGCTTTAATAAGGAAGTTACAGGGGCTAACATAAGTTTAATCTGGTTTCAAATTTTCACGCGAACTCACCATCCTCCTATGCCACAGGGAAGGGGAAGTGTAGCTCGTTGTCGTAACTGCGCCCACTTTGGCAATGTGACACGATCGATGTCAGCGATATGTCGGCACACAGCCAACGACCAAGGAAGGATTCCGCATGACATTACATTACATATGTACTCCTTTGATACAGCCGTCATGCGGTGTTAATGTCAATTGTAGTGAGGTGCCATGTGCTGAAGTTGATTTATGTAACAGTGTCCAGGGCTACCATTTTCACAAGCCTCAGCGCTTCATATCAGCTTACTGCTTCTCACGGTGGTAATAATGACAATCCTGCTGGCATCGTTGCGCAAGTGCAAACAACAAACAACTGCTTGTGCCTGGAACATTTATACATATACTATTAAGCATGATTTAAAGATGTGTCTCTCAATAAAAAAATTACAACACAGTCACCTTCTCTCCGCATGCTTCGCATAACATCGATTCCTAAGATGCGTGGGATCTGCCAAATATTTTCAAATTGAACTGCATGCGCAGTGCGTGGCGCTGTGATATTCCAAAAATGTGATCTCCGCGGCCTGTCGTACAATTAGCTAGCTTGTTTGGGGGGTGTTAAAAAACCGAAAGTCAGACCCTGTTTACTGGTCCATTAAAACGCAGTAAACAGGCTCCAGCTTTCTTGCAGCTTCGAAACAAGCTCACCGTTTAATATAAAAGGCTGGCATGATCACATTTTGTGAATATCACAGCGATGCTAGATGCACCGATGCTGTATTTCGAAAAACAATTCCCACGCTCTTTTGCTTCACCTGACCAGTCCTTTTTGCCCCTGCAATAATGTAATCTTTTCCATGGGCATTATTGCATAGCACTGATTTTACCCATTGGTCCTTTTCCCTGCAGTGATGCTGTTTTGGCCACGCAGCTTTCATTTCTATTTTCCTGTGCTGCCCTCTGCCAATTTAATAGAATCCAAGACTACTGGCATAAGCTGTGTCACCAGAACAAAAGCCTCCAAGAGGCATTATGTATGTGACTTTACTGATAGAGAAAAGGTGCATGCACCATGGCATATTTTTTTACCGCACCAGTGTTTGCACCCCTCACACCACGCTTTCTGGCTATGCTGCATTGACACAAGCGACACGTAGATCAAGCCTCATAGGCCATTGGCTAGGTGCTTATAACATAATCACAGATGATGTGTTGCATTGCAAAAGGAAGCGTACATGCAAGATGTCTGTACAAACATATATATATATGATATCTGGTGTATGAAGGAATTGGCAGAGTCCAACACACACAGGGTGGTCACACAGATTATTAAGGATACAGCCTGCACGGATAGTTTTTCATGCACTAACATATAACATGCTATGAGATATGTTGGTTAACAAGACAATAGTATGACAGGGGGCAATAAGAACAATTATAAATAGCTCAAAACTTGCGTCCATTAAAAAGTCATGATGTGTGCTCGCGGTGCATCTTAATCAAGGTGTGGCCACGGTCAGAGCACACTGCTAATTGTGAATGGTTCTTTATTGAGGCTGTTCAACCAATAATTTCAGTTGAGCACTGCATAAAAAAGAAAAAGCTTAGGTGTGAATAAGCAAACACCAGTCACCCCTGTCCATGCCCTGGTGATCTAGCAATGCAGTTTGACTCGAGCATTGTGCACAAAATCAGCAACAAGACTACATAAGGGGCGCCTACCATGGAGAGTCTCAGTGGTCAGCAGTGGCATGCTGTCCCTGCTTGCTGAAGGAGCACGGCTTGAGGAGCCACCTCCCTCCCTAGGTGTCAACAGGGTTGGCATAGAAGGGCTGCTCTGGCTGCCAGGGGGGCTGCTACGCTGCACTTGCGGTTGGCTTGGAGAGATCCTTGGCTGCTGTTGGCTAGAGCGCTGCTGCAATTGTGACTGTGATTGATGTGGCCCATTGGGGGAGCTCGAGGACCAGCTGTGCTTGCCATTCGTCTGTGGCTGAGGAGGGGAAAGCTTCTGCGACGGAGAATGCTTGCGTGATCCTCCTCCGCCACCGCTGCTGCCGCTGTCGATGGGGGTGATGGGCCGCGGCTGGATTTTGCTGCTTCCTTCGGCTCTGTGGAGACAAACATACGAATCCAAAGAAGGCTTTAGGCAGGTAACACAGATGCTCCAACTCAAGATCTTCAATGTAAATGTTCATTTGGCCATAAACAAGCATTTAGCACCCCTTTGCTAGTGTTTGACTGGACTCATTTTATACGCACATTACTCTATTTCTGGCCATTTCCTTACTTTATGTTATCTTTATGCCAACATGCATAGCTAGTAAGACATTAAATTCAATAAATCATGTGACATGGGCACACAAATTTAAGTTAAAAAGGTATAATCTCGTATTCGTCCAGATTGGGAAGGCTGTGCCTTAACCCCCACCCCCTAAGATAGCCTCATTACGGGCTTGTCTAGCAACAACAAAGGAGCAAATAGAGTTGCCAAACAATCAAATTTGAAGTTGAATGGTAATCCCTTTTCATCTGTTGCAGAAAACATAGAGTGAAGTGTCTATATTTATTTACCACAGAAAAACTGAAGTTAGACACTGCTTGTCCAGGCATTATTATCATGACTGTAAAAACACTCAAGTACCTAATCAAGATGAACATATTGTTACGATGGAAGATGTTTATTTGAAGATGGCCTGATATAAAAAGGGCTGAATGGCACTTGCTGCTCAGCACCGATGCACTCACGAGACAAGCAAGCGCTCTTCGTCCTCCTCTTTTTTTCGTCCTCCCTACACCGTTAGCATAGCACTTCTCTCTCCACAGACGCCACTGAACGAGTAAGAACTACACGAACGCAAAGTCACTCGGATGACAGCACATTAGGCATAAGACGTGAACAAGTTGGATCTGCCGAGTACGGTAGCCGTGATTTCGGAGACGAGCAATCGAGTACGTCAAGTCACTGAGGATATCGACGATGACGAAGAGGCCGGTGCAATGCGCGAGAAACTTTTAACACAGGCCACGCTTGCGAAGCGGCGTCTAGAGCCTAACAATGTCGCCGTTGTCGTAAGACATGTCCTTGTGCCGTGACTTGCAGGTGATCTTGGAACAGTCCTGGAATGCCAACGTACGAAGGTGAGCTACACGGACGAAGAGCGTATGGGTGCCGGCCGGCAGCCATTCAGCCCCTTTTTCTATCAGCCACACAGAGACATCTCTGGGACTGTGCACCGCCACCAGGAAACGAATAAGAAATGCCAACAAACGTCAGCAGAAAAATCATGAGCCAAGAGCCAGGCAACCAAATAAACGTGGTCCAGCGCGTGCTTGGCATCCTGGAACACCAGAGGCTGAAAGCGGCACCCCCACGGGTTCGACGCGGGTAGGTTGCTGCTCCGGGAGGCCCGAGCATGCTAGAGTCTTTCTTTAATTCCCCAACCTCTTCCCCCTTTATGTCAGATCAACAATAAAGTTGTTTCACTCACTCACTCACTGAATAAGAAGTAAGCACTAACATCTCATTAAGCAGAACCCCAAGGAACCAGAATAATGCATTCCTAAAAACAGGAGTGCTATTTACTGACAAATGTACGCAGGGGAACAACACTATGAGCCACACTATGTTTAACATTGTTTTAAATACATTAAGTAAGAAAAGGGTTGTCAAATTTAAGTGTTTCATGTTTACTGTGACACTTTATCTGCACAGAAACGAAGATATTTCGATTGTAGAATAGCATAAGCATACAGGTCAAATTATGCATGCATGATATTATGATAGTTCGCTTCTTCAAGCAAGACAAGATTTTTAAAATGGCTTCAAATGGAGCATACTTCTGCATGAGGCAAAAGTATGCAGAAATAAGATAGTGAGATAATGGACACTTGCATTGTGGCGATGGCATAGCGAGGAGGTGGCACACCATGCCTGTGCCAGGTATGCCACGGGTTTAATCATTTGATTAACTGATCAACACCAGCTCACTCAAGCAAAGTCAAACAAATGTTGTGCTGTCAGTGTGCTCTTTGACCTGCTAGGCCCATCCAGTGTCGCTTCGTCCAACATTGGGTTTCGTGGTAGCTTTTCTCATAGTTGTCACCATGAATGAAAAAAAATTTTTTTTTTCTCTCCATGGTATACGTGTTTGTTTGAAGTAGATGCAAAATGGTGGCCTGTGCTCGGTTGAGCTTGGGGTGAGGTGGGGCAAAGACTCAGTGTCTTTAGGTAAAAGTTCTCAACAAGATCATTGAAGGTAGTCAGATTATCCCTGGTGTCTCTAATCCTCGCGCAACGTATCCCTCTCTTGCCCGCTTTCACCTCATATTCCCGGACGTCTACACTACCCCCCACTGCTGGTGCTATGGCACTCACCCGGCTACGCTTCCGCAAACGCTGTGGGAGTGCCCGGCACAGTACAGACACGCTAACGCCACAATCTTTTCGTCAAAGCTTCATGAGGCTCTGCGGAGCCCCGCTCTCGAAGATCAAACCTGAATGACTCAGCACGCCCATGAGGCGGTGCCCAGGCAAGCCCTTGACGTCCCCTCATGGGAGGCCTAGCTAAACCTGCTGGTTTCCAATAATAAAATTTATTCTTCCTCCTCCTCCCTCTCTATGCTCATCATGCTTGTTCACCTCCCCTTCCCTTTGGTCAAAAACCTGAATATCCCGCCATAAATGAAATTCATTCTCGACATTCTGTATGTGGATGGAGTCACCCTTGCGAAAGGCATCTTCGATTTTGATAACATCAATAACTTCGCTGGTAAACTTTTCGGCTTACTGGCTGCCTCCAGTGGGCGTGGTAATCTCCTCATATCGGTTTCAGCCAGACAATTTAGATTGTGATCATGACCAATCTCAATTAGATTCGATCCGGATCAGGCATCACCTTTAATCGCAATGAGGCTCGATCCTGATTGAGACTACAGCGATCTGGCTCTTATATCACAATTTGGCTAATGTTCGTGCCAAACTTGAGCTGGATAAACCATCGAGACCACTCATCAAGACCACTGTTAGTCATCGTTCAAGATATATAATCCGGATTGGCCTCTGATCATCAGAAGTACCAATGTGATGCTGGCATGAAGTAAAGTTCAACTTCCCCATAAGCCAGAAATCTAACCTGAGGCTACTGCTTCGCGGAGAGCCTTTTGTCCGAATCAATGGACAATGTGGTTGACAGGACACTTGAAGTTATGATTGAAATCCGTCATCCAAGAGGTGAAATATGCACAGAAAATACGAGGATCGAAAGGAGGCATTGTACGTACCTGGTCTTCTTGAGCTGGATGTTACAGCTGAGCCTCTCGAGGGTTACTTCGCCAGTGACGTTGTCGACGACCAGGACACACTCCCGCTGGTAAGGCCGCTGCGAGCCCTTGAATACCGTGTGCGCAGTGCCGGAGCCCTGGGACAGATGGTTCTGCTGATAGTGCAGGACCCGCGGCAGATCGCACCGCACATCAGCCACAGGCGCGCACACAGGCGACACTCACAAGTGACCCAGACATCGTGGTTGACGGGCCGCAACAGCACGAGCACACTATGCACATCGAATGCTACGAAGCTGGTCAAATAGAGACACATAGAGACACATAGAGACACATGCGAAGAAGCAGCTGTGCGAGCACACGCGTTCTGCCCTACAAACAAATCTACTCTGCAACACATTGTGCACATGAGAGTATGCAAATGCTCACGCACTAACCACTGTTGACGGAGCCACAAAGAAGGAGAAATTAGAAGCGGCGCTACACAAATTGAGTAGCCTGAATTCACTAACTATAGGTTGTGTCAGCTCACCCGCACGCCTTATACTCAGCTGTCACATGCTGCAAGTGAGATTTATGCTGATTTGGGTGACTGAGATTCGTGCTCCAGGAAAGCGAGTCCGCGCTCATCTATGCAAGGCACGGCTAACAGCAATATCTAACTAAATAAAGGAGGCGGAGGAATGAACACATTTATTATAACCAGCAGTTAACTGGGCGTAGGCCACGGGCACAGGCCTCCCACGCGGGTACGATGAGGTCTGAACCTCATCGATGAATTCTTAACCCTCCCCCTCCTGATTAAAAAAAATTACTTGTGTGTGTGTGTGTGGTGTGTGTGTGTGTGTGTGTGTATATATATATATATATATAATATATATATATATATGTTAGTTAGCGTAAGTGGAACGCAAAAATAATACCGATTACAGTTAGGGCAGAGACCCTTTTGCCTACTGAACACATACGCAAACACAGGCGTAGTAAAGAAAGGAGGGGGGTAGGGAGGGGGCTGACCCTCTTCCTCGCTCCGCAAATATCCTGGGCACAGCGCGTATCACTGCACCAACATTGCATTTAGAAATTTAAAACCACAGAGGGTAAACGCAAACACCTGTGTAACCAAGATGGTGAAAATTGCTTCCCTGTTGTTCCTTGTGTCTATCTTGTGGTTTCTTTAGCTCGCTGAACAAAAGGTTGCTAAAGCATTGACAAAAATCTGGGTCGATCCGTCGCGAGACATGTACGTTTAAATGACGCCAAACGTAATAATACATTAGATTTGGCGTCGTTCAAACGTATACATGTTTAGCGGCAGACATCCGCTGTAATATATCAACGACGGACGACGACCGTATACAATGGTGGCGTAAAAGATAAAAAAAAACACATAAGTACCCAGATACGGCGCCCCAGTTTCGCATCACTGTCGGCAGAAAGTACAACTCCACTGTAATACAACACAGGATTCAGCCCCGACTTGACTGTTGGCGGCAGAGCAGCGTAAAATAGACGCGCACTGCATAATTACAAGTTATCGTCGTCGCAGCTTCGAGAGCAGGAGAGATACGGGAAGTATAGCGATCGTAAAAAAAAAAAAAAAAAAACATGGAGGAAGTGTAGGAGCGAAACAAAAGCGAAAGAAAGGTCAGGCTCGCAAGCACACGAGCAGTGCCGAAGAGAAAGGAAAAACGCGCATGCGAAGAATATGTGACGGCAGGCGAGCAAAAACGGGATCTGCCCGTCTTGCATTGTTACGTCCCGCCGCCGCGGTGCGAGGCGATCACAATGCAGCGGCGGAGCCATGCAGCTGGCAGGAAAGGCAGGCGGTCAAAGTGGGTCGCCCGCTGAGCGCGCCCCCTACCTCGATGTGCGGCACAGTCACAGTGATTTGGTTCTTCTCTCCCACTTCGACGTTGGCAGACTTGGACGTATCTACAGAGGCCGGCTTGAAGTCGTCTGCAGAAGAGAGAAAAAGAAAGAATGCGGGTTGGCCACACGCTATCGCCGACACGAACCCTTCCCTCAAGCGGCAGGCATCCCCCACATATCAGTCAACTGCGGTTAGACAGAAGAGACGGAACTACACTACGTTTAATATTTCACACTTCATCAAATGAAGTTCAATTTACCCCCCGTAATTCTTTCTTTTTTTTTTTCGTTGTTCGTAAATGGTGATGCTTTGTACGTTATTACACTGCTGTCAATAGGTTGTTCTGGACATTTATTTTGGTTCGCGTAGAGAGACTTTTTTTTAAGTATCGTGGCCTCCGCGATTAGCTCCGGCAGCGCGCAGTCGGAGCTAAACGCAGAGGCCATGCACGGTATGCGCTGACTTTCGCATGTTGCTGAACGAACTTCTTGCATAGTTGCCACAGTTGCACCTGGTGTAGAAACTGAGTTTATAGCTAGCCAGAGAATCGAAAAGTCGATAGCCTGCGTCGTAAAACAAAAAAAAAAAATCGAGAGAAAAAGAAGAAAAAAAAACGACGCAGGTGCCTTTTTGAACCATGTAAGGCGCGCAATTCAAAATCTTCGGAAGACATCTGGCACGATCGGGCAAGTTCGCTTATAGACAGTGGCAACAAGACACATTCGTTATATTCCGCCACAGTACGTCCACATATGACCTCAGTATACAGGGTTATGCTTTTATACGCTCAATCACCGCTAAGCCTAAAAAAAAATGCTCATTTTGCGCGCGGACGCGTCATTTTGATTCCTCGCATTTTATTTTTCACAGTGATGCTACCAGCGCCTTTTCGCCATATCTCTCCTCTCTACCTCTGAGAAATTACGAAAAGTTTATTGTGCATGATCAACGGGTCTTTTACTGTGCATTCGGTGACTTTTTTGTCACAGCTACGCAAGTATGACAATTCCAAATGTTAGCCGATATTGTAAGCAAATCTCCCCATGGGTGACCTCCTATCACGGACAGTTGAAGAAAAGGAACTAAGTGCGAATACGGCAGTGCAGAGATCAATAAAACTCTGGTCGAGGGTTACGTAAGTATTTCAAGCACTCAATTTAGGAGTTGTTGCTTCATCCAATGTGTTCCGAGACTGCGCGGGTTCCGACACCTGACGCAATACGACCGGTCGGCTGTTACTACCGCCACACACGATCCGTGCAACCTTGCGTCATCCGTCTCAAGGAGCGAGTACGGCAAGCGGCGGCGGGACGGCTTGGAGCGCCTGCTGCGGGACACTTCAGGGTCGACGACAAGCTCCCAAAGATTAAAAACGCCAGGCCTGCGCGGAAAGCGCAGCACAGTCACAGCGAAAGCTAGAAAAAGCGGCCTTTCGGGGCCTCTTCGAAACACTCATTTGGTAACTACTGCAGGCCCAACTTGCTTGATACTCACTAGGTAATTATAATAAATATATTTGGGTAGCAGGTCGGCATTCGCTACGCTACTTTTCGTCATTCTTCTGAGAAGCGTAGTATCTGCTAGACACTTGCGCGGAATTTTGTGCCAATTGTTCATGCAGTGGCTAACGACGATGAGGAAATATGGCTGCAGTATGCGCCGCGGTTACTGGGGGAACAAGAACAAGCTTTTGAGATGGGTTGGAACATGAGACTGCCCACTCGTTACGCTATTCGCATTGTGCGACGACTGGTTGTTCTTTCGCTGTTTTAAAACGTTTTATAAATCGTACTGACGCGATTGCTTTCCCGACATCAAGCCTGCCTAAGACAACTTTGACAACTACAGTCACAAGCACCGGTGCAGCTCAAAGCTGGGCACCCAGCGGACCCGGGTTTGAGCCCCACTGTGTCATTGGTGCTAGGTCAAGCCTGTCTAAGGCAAGCTTAAACAAGTTACAAACACCGCCGTAACTCAGTGGTAAAATACTGGGCTGGCACCCAGCGGACCCGGGTTCAAGCCGACCTGTGTCATTGGTGCTAGTTATTTTTTTTCTCTCATTTCGCGCGATGTGGTTACGGACACCGGCGGACAGCTACGCGTGACCCGAGTTGTGATCTCATAACAGCTTTCGCTGTAAAACGATAAAAACACACCCGAGCAAAATAGAAATGCCTGCAGGACAACCATTGCACCGTCCACATAGCGCGCCCAGAAGTCCGTCCTTCTCGCGAGTCCTTCGCCGCGCCTAGGAGCTTCAAGGCGACATACTTTTCCCAGAGCTTTGCAAGAGCCACCTACTGGCTCACGAAGCGTAGATCGAAATAAAAAAAGCGATCCAAAAGGAGCAAAGTCAGGTCGCGAAAGGTCCCTGGAAAGCTGGTCGGTCGGCGGCAGTGCTCAAGAAACAAAACGGGTTTCCCCTGCTTTTTCTTTTCTTTTTTTTTTTCCTTGTTGACCCCTCGAGGGAAAGCTTGATTGCTAGTGCGCAGCAGACAAGGGCGGAACGGTCGTAAAGAAAGTGCAGCGGTGTAAAGCACCAATCAATAAGTGAAGCAAAAGCAGGCTGTATAAGAACCGCCCGAAGGCTTCATTGGGCACTGACACGATGCTATCACCAACCAAGCTTTCTTTTGTCTAATAAGTTCATTCCGTTCGAGCTCTTAATACCATTATTTGTGTGACAATAATACCATTATTGTCACACGGCATAATGAGGGAACCAATGAAGATGAGAGCTTGCAGGACAGCTTCGCGCATGTACGTGCTCTTGCGACATGTACGGGACCGGCCGTCGCTCTCGTGTCACGTGACACGAAAGTGACGGCTGATCCTCGCCACAGCTCGCAATCCAAAGTAGATCCCGCATATCGAATAACTGCGGGCGCCGCATCGGTACATTTATATTGAGATATAAGACACGTTATCTTCGGTATGTAAATCCCGCTTCAAATGTGCGGCAGTTCAAGGCAGTTCTTGGTCGACATGATCGCCTCAATGCACGTGCGCCCTGGCATGAACACACACACACACACACACACACACACACACACACACACACACACACACACACACACACACACACACACACACACACACACACACACACACACACACAAAGAGTGAGAGAGAGAGAAACACCCTGCCTGCGATACGAAAAGAAAAAAATGACAATTACTAATTCAGGCCCACTTGCACAGAATATAAGACGTACTTGTTGGTGTACTCTGGCGCCATCTATTTAACGCTTGTCCCGTGTGGTTCTTCTCTGTCCTCGTTCATCGCACTACTAGCCACAATGACGTCCTCTACAGCACGCACTCGGCGCATATCAGTCATCACATTTGAGGCTTATAACTTTGCGTCCTTATCCGCATTATGGTCTTCTGGCTTTTCATTATTTTTACAATTACACACATGACAAGGCACAAACTTCAGTTGCGAGACGACGCGCGAACCAATGTAAGAAAGAGCTCATCTTCGTGTCACACGAGTCATTTTTCGTGACTGCTTGCCAATCGCGGAGGGAGGCATGCGACCGGTTTCCTCGGACAAGATGCCGAAGGAGCAAGTTCCCCATCGAAAGAGCAAAGCTATAGCACTAGCTGCACCACCAGTGTTTAGCATAAAGAACATGCACCGTATCAGGCCAGTGGGACGAGGACGGCATCCGCGGAGGACGCGAGCCACGAGGCGTGCTCTCGCCACCCGGACGAGCTGGACGTCGGGAGAGTCACTCCGCTCGCCGTCACGACGCCAATACGCGCATGTCATCGTTACACTTTTCCCCCGCACAACGGCATATTTCCTTCGTACAAGAAGCTCAGTGCGGAGAACATCAAAACGAGGAGGCATCATCATAGTTGGGCTCGTTGGTATGTAATCTTCAGGAGCAGACATGTATAGCACGCGTACGTTACACCACCGCGTCATGCGGGTCACGTGATCAGAAGGGACGGTGAACAAATAAACAAAACGAAATAATGATAATACTGAAATTATGGTGGTGATGATGGGGACTGAAATTGTGATGACGATGGTGCACTCTGGTCGCTGGTGCATGATACACTTGTGCGTCGGTCGAGTATGATGCACGACAAGGAAATGGCGCACACACGAAACGCGTTTTAAACAAAAATGTGTTGTGCGTTATCAGTTCTTCATAACTTCCTGTATATAACGTTGGTAATCGAGCAGCGATGAAAGTCAGTCGATACAGAAAGCACCGTGTTGTGTACACCACCTTCTGTTCGATCACCATGTGCGTTAATTTCGCCCGCTGTCATTTCGGATTCAATGATTCACATTGGAACCGTTTATTTTTTTCAAACGCGATGCAAGAAGGAAGAAATAAGCGGAAAATGAGAAGACCAATGAAGCGCCCCGCGGGCTTTCCTCAAAATGACAAGAGTGAGAAATGAGGAAAAAGTTATACGAACGAGATAAACGCTCACAAAATTGTACCACCGTGACAGCGCCGACGCCCGAATCGTACTATAGCCGCGGGTAAAAGAAGGACACACAAAAGCGATGGAGCGGCACGCTTAATCAAGCGAAGCTTCGTCGAATCGCCACAGAAACACCGAGAGAAGAAGTGTATACCATTCCCGTGGGCGCAAAGTTTTTTCTGTACAGAGTGCTCATCGCAAGATTTGGGCGCACCTTCAAGAGGTAAACACCTCGCCGACATATATTCAAATCAGCAGCAACGCACTGCACAGGAATAAAAGACAAGGCCATGTTAACCGAACGGGTGCGATTGCGTTGTGCGTTTTATCGCGCCCGCTGTCGTGAAGCGAAAGCCTTTGATGTCTCATACTCGCGTCCATCCGTCCGTGCCCTGGAACAGTGCGTGCTGTGGCCTCTCCTTCTTACTTTCTCTCATCAATCACGCGATTAGCGAGAGATTAAAAAAAAAAGAAAGACATGACACGGACAGCCGAATAGTCACAGGTTTTAACCAAACACCCTTTGGAATTTCACAACGTGTCTTCAAATTTTTGTTACATGCAACTGATGCACGAGAAGATTACGAGATATATTCACAGCGCTGAAATACCACCAAGATGACGAATAAATAAAAAAA